GCGCCCACAGCCGCTCTCCCCTTTTCACTGAAAAAGTATGTCAGTAGGACAGCGAGTCCACATGGGCTTACAGCCAGGCAAAATTGAGCGACACTCGGAGCCGGCCAATCACAGACACATCTGCCCAAACATAAACCAATAGGCTGTCAGAAGTGGCAGGGAGGCGGAACATCTGCATTATTAGACTGAGCAGCCTTGAATGGCGTGTTTGTGGAATGTTTACAGACGAAGGTTATATAACACTAGAGATAGCGGTACGGGAGGGGCACCCAAGGGCTCACAGATTTTTCCATTGCATGCCACAGTGTATCTTGGTCATTGCTTTCAGCTGACAGAGCTAGAAAGACAAAATGGAGGATGTTTTTTTCCTACTTAGCGTGTTTTTGCAAACTTAGTTTTTTCCATTCCACCACTATATGCAAAATATAAAAATATAAAATAATTGTGTTACTATCACAAAACACATTTATTTATTTTTTAATTCATTGATTTATTAATTATGTCTATATAAGAAGCTCAATCTATGTATATATATATATATATATATATATATATGGGAAGTTGATGCTTGACATTTTTATGAACATTTTTTTTATCCATATGAAGATTTTAGGTCAAACAGTTATCATTAAATATATAAAAACATTTCTTTCTTTATTTAGTTAATTTATTTTTTCATTTATTAATGCATTTACTTTTTATTTATTTAAACATAATTATATATAACATTATATAAACATAACATAATATAAATATAAAAATATATTTTATTGCATAATAGTTGTGTAATTGTTATCACAGAGCTATTTATTTATTTTGTTTATTGTTTTTAATTTATTAATGATTTTTTTATTTATGTAGTTTTGTGAATAATAAATAATTGTTTGCATATTTAAAAACAAATATAATTAAATATGAAAATATGTTTTATTGCATAATAATTGTTATCCCAAAGCACATATTTGTTTCATTCTTTCATTTTTTATGAATTAATTTTTATTTATTTATTTAGTTTTTGTCAATTATTATTATTTATACACTTTTCACTGTTAATTAGGAAATATTGGTTTTATATATGTCTGCATGGAAGCCAAGCATCTAGTTTCTAAAAGTCACTACACTGTGTTCCACTGATCATATGAGTCTTATCAAGGCCTCATAGTTACTTTTTTATGGAGTAACGCAATATTGTAATGCATTACTTTTAAAAGTAACTTTCCCCAACACTGCTCATAATACACCCTTCAGTCAGAAAATCAATCCTCTGGCTATTTCTGTCCTTCATGCCATGCAGAGCGAGAGAGATCTCCCTCTATCTGACTGTAATCTTCATTGGTTGATATTACTTGTGGTGCATCAAAATGATGTCAGAATCAGAATCAGAAAGAACTTTATTGCCAAGTGTGCTTACACACACACAAGGAATTTGTCTTGGTGACAGAAACAAGTGACAAGACACAGATAACAAAATAAAAATAAGTGAGTAAAAATAAATATGTAAAAACAATACACAATAGACAAAAAGACAATAGACAGTATATTGTATGTACAGATGTGCTATATACAAATTATGCAAGCAAATGTATGATATATTAAATCAATAACATACATATAATAAATGTAAGTATAGATAGTTGGGTATTGCACATATTTTATTGCACAGTAGATGTAGATGGCCTGAGGAAAGAAACTGGTGCTCAGTGATCTGTAGCGCCGGCCAGACAGTAACAGTTCAGAGAGGAAGTGGGCTGGGTGTGAGGGGTCCAGAATTATTTTGCCTGCACTTTTACTCACTCTGGATGAGTACAGATTTTTGTGCATATGTGCTTTTCTGTCATGAAATGTTTTTGCTTTTAATGCTTAAAACGATGTTTGTTTGTTTTTTTCTTCCAGCTCAAATTGATGTTATACCGTGTAAAATCTGTGGTGACAAATCCTCTGGGATTCACTATGGCATTATTACATGTGAAGGGTGCAAGGTAAGAATTCTGCCATAATACCCTAATGATTACTATATTATCTTTTCTTTTTGTCTTACCCTAGATGTGCACTTTCTAGAGTTCAGTTCAAGTCATGCAAGCAAAACTATCCTTTTGTGCTCTGTCCCTCCTTATCTTTTATCCTGATGTTTTTTGTGCGCATCTGTTTTCTGGGTCACTATATATGACTATATATGTTCATCATGCGGCGCCAGGGCACACCTATGAAAGCCGCACCTGATATTAACCATCCTGTATGCTGAGGTAACCACGTTTCTGTTTTGCAGGGTTTTTTCCGACGCAGCCAGCAGAACAATGCCATGTACTCGTGTTCACGGCAGAGGAACTGCCAGATCGACCGAACCAACAGGAACCGCTGCCAACACTGCCGCCTGCAGAAGTGCCTGGCACTCGGCATGAGCCGTGATGGTGAGCGCAAGTCTAAATGCCCAACAAAAACTGAATATTAGGAACCAGGACTCAAATATTAGTACTATATGAGGAGAGGCAGGGTCAAAGGGCAGCTGAGTGGGACTTCATGTCAACAATTATGATTTTTGCAACTACGTGGTTTTATTCAGTCACAATTTGAGCCTATTGGATGATCGTGATGCGAAAAATTTTAAGAACTTGTGGATGATCTCATCAAATTCAAATACCTGTGTCATGGTACATTTTATTTATGGATAGTCTTAAATCAGGACTTAGTGGTCTGTGTATCAGATGACAAATATAATGTTTCTTTTGGTTTAATGATTCAATGTAATAGAATTAGAAGTGTGAATTTAAGACCCCATATTTTGAAGATAAATTAAGAGCTATTTGTTTTCACCCTAGAAATAAAATGCATTTATTTATATAAACATCTATACTGTATATTTGTGTGAGATATTTAGTTGAGAAATTATATTTTGAACAAAACAAAAGAAGAAGTTAGGGCTATTTGGCTTTTTTATATATATATATATATATATATATATATATATACATGTGATATCGGATGAGTGAAGCCTGGTGCTTTGACAGCTTTCATGACACGCAGTTACTCTGAAGCTGGCATTCAGACTGTTAAAGTGGAGCTCCGTTCAGTCAGACGAGCTTTTATGTTTCTTTCAGTCGTCTGTGTTGAAAATTAGATTTTACTCAGTTCGGTGAGAGCCTAGTCGGTGAAAAATTGAAGGGGGTCTGAATACTTTCCGTACCCACTGTATATATATATATATGTACATGTGGAAGAATTGACAATAAAGCAGACTTGACTTGACTTGACTTAATGGTATGTAATACTAAGTGAATATACAGTATAATACTTTTTCTTTCTGTAGCGGTGAAGTTTGGCCGAATGTCAAAGAAACAGCGGGACAGCCTGTACGCGGAGGTGCAGCGGCACCAGCAGCTGTCTCAGGAGTGTCTGGCGGGTTTGGGTGGTGGTCTGGCACCGCGTGACCGTGAAGAGATGGATGAAGACATCACGCACAGCCGGCCGTACAGCAGCGGAGGCTCCAGCTCCACCCTCAGTGACCTGGACGACATCGCCACGCTGCCTGACGGTTTGCTGTTTGACCTGCCGCTCACCCCAGAGGAGACGGGCGAGTACTGCGCTCTGGAGATGCTCGGGGGCGTTGGCGGGTTTGGGAGTGCTGGAAGTGGAAGTTCGTCCAATCAGAATATCTCTTTGGGTTTGAGACTTTAGTCTTTGCAATTTTAGGGATCTTATCTATTCACGAACAGCTTGTAACACTCCAAAGGGAAAGGAAAACTTGAAATAGCATCATATGACCCCTTTAAATGTACCTATAGGTATACTATATCTATATAACATTTTTATACTTATTTGTTTGTTATATCTGTTTGATATATTTATTTATATCTAGATACACAGATACTAAAAAAAAATTTGTTCATGTGTTGAATTTCTGTTTAGAGCGAATCACTCAAAATGTCGTGAAGTCTCACTTGGAGACGTGTCAGTACAGCACAGAAGAGCTGAAAAAACTCATCTGGAACCTCTACACACCTGAAGAAACCCGCAGCTTTCAGCTCAAGGTACACCATTATCATATTAGATGATGTGCCCCATCATCATATTAGACAAATGCATAAATAGATGGTCAATCATGTGACTGCGCTCGCTGATTTGTGTCTCTTTGTTAACGGATGTATTAACAATCTCTGTGGATTCAGTCTGCAGAATGGATGTGGCAGCAGTGCGCCCTGCACATTACAAACGCCATCCAGTACGTCGTGGAGTTCGCCAAGCGAATCTCTGGATTCATGGACCTCTGCCAGAATGACCAGATCATCCTGCTCAAAGCAGGTCAGTGCTGCCTTTGTCTCACACGGATTACAGATGACTAATCCCAGATTATACGACGGATTTCTCACTCGCATCACCTTATCCACTCAGTGCCATGATGTGGCATTTCTGATGTGGCCCTGGGCGGCCATTCAATCTCTTTATTAGTTTAATCACATTTAGTAATGTTATAACACCATTCAAGTTCCATGAGCTTTGTCTTTCATGCTACATCTAGAATACTATGAGAGCAGATATTGACATGTAATTCAGATAATGGCAAATGCAAACACGCCCACAAAATTAGTGTTGAGTGCATTTTGCACAGGGCATTTTTCAGTCATGCAGATTGTTTGGTTGTGAAGGATGCATTGTGATCCAAACTATGGGAGCTTATTTCTGCCACCAAATAAAAAAATTTAAAAGGCAATTGTGACTTTTTATCTCACTTTTTTTTTCCTTTCAACTTTTAGTTTATATCTCACAAGTCTGACTTTTTTTCAGAATCGTGAGATATAAACTCAGAAATGTGAGGAGTAACAAGTAACAACAAAGTAACACCTAGTTTATTTCTGCTAAGGAATTTTAAAAAGTAGGCTAATTGTGACTTTTTATCTCACAATTCCAAAGTTTTTTTCTTGAAATTCTGAGATTGTATCTCACAATTCTGACTGCTTTGTTCAGAATCGCGAGATATAAACTCATTTGTGGGGAAAAAATTCAGAACAACCTTGTTTCCATTAAGGAATAGGAAAATAAAGTTAATTGCAACTTTTTTTACTCACAATTTTCTTGTATTATAACATGTATATAGTTTATATACATGTTGTAAACTCAAATTAAGACTTTCTTCTCAGAATTGTGAGTTAACATCTTGCAATTCTGACTTTTTTTCTCAGAATTTTGAGGGTAAAAAGTCAGAATTATTAGATAAAAAATTTATTTTTGTAAATAAGTTTCCATACCAAACAACTGAAATAATTCTTTTTAAAATACCTGTGTGCTCGACTGCACTGTATTTGGATATATGCCTGGATAGAATGCACTTATCCATTATTTTACCATCAATCGATGGTTTTCTGCTTCCAGAGTTGTTAAAAATGTACATAGACACAATACAAAAACTTAATGCTCATGCAAAAGTGGTATTTCAGAACATATAGTGGCTGGTGAAACTGGATTGTGCGTGGTTACAAAAAAAAACACAGGATTCAGTTCCGTCTATGTGTTCGATCTTATATTTGATTCTTGCACTAATGTTTGTCTCCTCTTGTGTTTGTTTCTACAACATTCTGTCTACTTCTACTCTTTGTGCTTACTGTATGAAAAAACCCTTCACTAAATAAAACTCCTTTTTCTTAACGTCATTTGAAACAATCACAAACACAATGACTTTTCATTTGGATAATGTTTAATGTTCTCATATTTGGAGAAAAATGTAAAAAAAAAATGTGTCTGTATTTTTGCACGGTGGAGCATATTCCTGCTTTTCCTTCCCCCTCCCCTGTACTCTTTTTATGTTTTTTTCCCTCTATTTTTCTCTGTCTGTTTTTCTTTTTGTCTCTGTCCTCTGTCTTTTCTGCTTTCCCCCCATTACGTTTTTTGACGCTCTCTTTCTCTCTATTACTGTTCCAGGATGTCTGGAAATCCTGCTGATCCGAATGTGCCGTGCTTACAACTCTTCAAACAACACAATGTTTTTTGATGGCAAGTTTGCCAGTCCTCAGCTCTTCAAAGCTCTCTGTGAGTGTCCTGATATGTAAAGAATATCATGCATTTTATGGCTACTATTTCAAAAGTATACAGTATACTCTGAGAAGTTATTGGTAACACTTGAAGCCTTTATGTTTAATGCATTATAACGGTATTCATAATATACATTGTAATACATTATATCTTTTCATAAGTAATTGTATCTAATGTTAAAATGCATTATAATATTTGAAAGTTTGTTTGGCACGTGTTTTAATGCATTATACTTTCTAAATGTGTAACAGTGAATAGATAAGTATTATAATGTATTATAACTGTGGTTACAATTACTCATGAAATCATACAATGCATTATAAGGTGCATTACAAGGCATAATTAATGCATTAAAACTACTTTTACAAAGCATTATATATAAAGGCTTTAAGTAAAGTGTAAACATAGAATAGCTATGGTTGACCTGCTATATTTGCTAAAATGTGCAATATACAACACATTCATACTGGGTTCAGGCATCCCATAATTTAATGCACTCAATTTTACTTTCCAGATGCAAACTAGATGTAATCTGTGAACTCAGAATAGCATGCTAACATACTACTTTATTATTTATATTATTGATACGGTTTTGCACAAAATTGTATTGCAAATGCAAAATAACATTTTTGGGAGAATAACTAGATACCCTTGTGAAACTAAACATGCAGGTAAGATTAAGTAGTGGTTAAGTATCAAATGTAATGAGGTCATGTGATAACAATGTAGCAGTAAACTGCTATTTTAAATTTGTACAGTTCCATAATGTGAAACAGTTTGGAAAAAAATAGTAGGCAGCATTCAGTACTCTAGTATTCCACATCAAACACATCCTCTTTACCTTATAATGTAAAACAGCAGCAGCCTCTTAAGAGCAAGAGCAGAGGCGTCATGAATCAGTAAGCCACAAGAGCTAATGGGTTTTTAACCCAGTTAGTGAATACAAGCGATGCTCGGGTGAGTAATAGCTCATCGATGTTAAATGGAAGCATTGCAGAAAGCAATCTTGCCTCATAATATATCAAATAAAAGCATTTATTTTTGGAAGAAGTTGGTAGAATTATTTGTAGATTGTACCACTTCTTTTTATTAGGTTTTTTCAAATTGTGTATGTTTAAAGCATGAAATGAAATTCATCCTATCTATTTTCTGAATGCATGTTATAGATTTTGTAAACAATTAATCCATGCATGTTTAATCAAATGTTTTATTTTTTTAAATGACTTTGTAATGTTTAATTAAAATATCATAACTGTGTCTTCTGAAAATAACGGACTTATTTTTTGTGATGTTTGGTGATGATCTGTCGCTACTTCTGTTTCATCACAACTTTAAATGCAATGTTCATGTTATGATAAAATGCACAATACAATCATAGAGGCCAACTATGATATTCATGATAAAGCAAAGCTTGTTGTGCTTTATTGCTTAAATCTGTGTTATTCTCACAAATAACAAGTAAGCTTTGTACCCAGAACATCTTATTATTTCCTTCATAATTATTGGAACACAATAGATCCATTAAATCATTTCATGCTAAATAAAAACAGATTGGTTCTGTGCAAATTATGGCCCTCAATGGAAATGTAATCTGTTTCTCCATCTTCAGCATGGTAACCAGCATATGCATGTCTTTGTAGGGTGTGATGACCTGGTGAACGCTGTCTTTGAATTGGCTAAAAGTCTGAGCCGTCTTCAGCTGAGTGAGGAGGAAATGGCTTTATTCAGCGCTGCGGTCCTGCTAGCTCCAGGTGAGACTCTCACACGCATGTCTGCTACCAATTTAGAGACTCGTTTTCTGAAGCAAAGGTTTATAAAGCTGCATTTATAGACTCTCAGAAAAAAATATAATATGTGCCATGCTCAGACTTGCACACAAGAATAAAATGAGACACATCCTCACAGTCTGAAACCTCTGCTCTGTGTTTGTGTGGCGCTCAGATCGGCCGTGGTTGACAGAGTCTCAGCAGGTGCAGAAGCTCCAGGAGAAGGTTTACGTGGCTCTTCAGCACAGCCTGCACATGAACAGAGCCACTACTGAGAAACTGGATAAGGTGATAAACCACACACACACAGCTCTTTACAGATAAACAGATGAACTTCAATAATATTTAAGAAAAAGAAATTAAATAATTAAAACACTAATATTATGAATCAGCCAAGGAGAGTAATAAAACTTTCAAAACTAACAAAACATTCTCAGTCAATTAATTTCAAATCCTAAAATCATTTGTGATTTAGTGAGTTATTAGATTAAACTGATTTGTGAATTTGTTTGACTCAGTCTTTAAGAATCACTAGTTCTGCACACCCAGAAAACAAACAGAAAAGAAATATTTCATTTAATCCACAGTTATATTATATATTATGTTTAAAAAAAATAATAATAATTTACGTATTTTAATGGTTAAGACTGCACAGATGAGCAAGCTATATTATCACCCACTGAATTTAAAATAATAGTTATTTCGGCCAATAGAATCATATAAGGTCAAATGGATTTAACACAATTGCATATAATAGAGTATATATACTATACTCAAGTATATGTATGTCTATTCAGTTCAAATTGTCACAATTTGCAAAATATACAATATATGCCATTCAAACGTTTGAGGTCAGTAAGATTTTTTAAAAAGAAATTAATACTTTTATTCAGCAAAGATACATTAAATTGGTTCAAAGTGACAGTAAAGACATTTATGGTGTTACAAAAAAGTTATATTTCAGATCATTGCTGTTCTTTTTAAACTTTCTATTCATCAAAGTATCCTGAAAAAAGTGTATCATGGTTTCCACAAAAATACGAAGCAGCACAACTGTTTTCAATATTGATAATAATAAGAAATGTTTCTTGAGCAGCAAATCAGCATATTAGAATGATTTCTGAAGGATCACGTGACACTGAAGACTGGAGTAATGATGCTGAAAATTCAGCTTTGCATCACAGGAATAAATTACATTTTAAAACACATTTCAAATAGAAAAAGTTAGAAAATAGAACATTATTTTAAGTAGTAATAATATTTCACAATATCACTGTTACGTGTGGCTGTAGTATTAAGCGCACGACGAAGGAGTAGAGTCCAAGGAAGTAATTTTAATAAATCCACAGGGAGAACAGAACAACCACATGGGCACAAAACATCATTAATATAGGACAAAGAAACTGAGGAGCGTCCTCACGCCGAACAGTCCAATGGAGGAGGGAGAGTGGGGGTTCAGGAGGAGGACGAGGCGCAGGCAAAAGGGAGAGGACACAGTCCATAGAGCCAGGGCAGAGTAGACGGTGGGAGAAGCCAGGTGGAGATCCAGACCGCAGCCAGGACAGCAGCCCACCATGGAGTCGCTGGAGGGAGGAGCCATGGTGGAGGTAGGGCTGGCGACACCAGGGGGCCGACTGACAGAGATGGAGCTGAGGAAAAGGAGCCCAGGATGGAGACGAAGAGCCGCAGAGCCAGGGTGACACAGAGGTTCCGGAGGGCCAAGGCGGAGCAGACAGCTCATGCGAGCAAGGCGGAGGCGGGTATCCGGAAGACCGCGTTGGAGCTGGAGGGACAAGGGAGCTTGGTAGAGCGATTGGGATGACGGGCAACGGTGGAGATGAGGAAGCTAGGAACCAAGGCGGAGCCGATGGGTCAAAGGGCTGAGGTGGAGTTCAGGACTCAGAGGTCGGAGGCGGAGATAGGGGATCCTTACGCCAAGGTAGAGCTGGAGACTGGCAGACCAGAGGCGAATGGATGCCTGGATGGTGCTGACTGAGGTTGAGCTAAGAGACAGCAGAGACAGGGCTGAGGAACTGGCTGGTTTTAGGAGAGGAGGTGGGAGAGGGAGGCTGGGAGGGAACACAGGAGAACAGGAGCTGGGCGGAACCAGCAGAGACTCGGGAGAATTGGGTATTACCTCCCCAAACCAGTCTATTAAATCCACATTAAAAATGTCTTTTAGTTCCTCATAATATCCAGAGGCCAGTTTCAACTCACCCTCGGCGGCGGGCGTGTGGGCGGGGCTTTCCTCCAAGCCGTCGATCTCCACTATTAAACCCACGGCGATACACGGTGTTGCCGGCTCACGCACCTGGTCAGATGTGCCTTGAGGCTCTGGCTCCAGGGCGATGATCCACTCTGTCGCTCTTGTTTACGATAACTCATCGATCGTGGCATGCTCTGGCTCTCCGTCTGCGGTGGGCATGGGCAGACGCGCCGTATAACGTGATGGTATAGCTGGCTGGGCTCTGGATCGGGAGATCGGGAGTGAGGCTGGAGATGTCCTCGGCGGGGCAGATGGAGAAATATAATCCATTATTCTCCAGCACCTACTCCACAAATGCAGCAAAACTCCCTTGAGGACCATCCACGAGCAGGCTAGCGCAGAACCAAAAATCTCACCACCTTCCTGGGCTGCTGACTGTGTATTTTCTATCAAATCCAAAAAAAAGCGGTCCGGGAAGGTGGTGAGATTTGCCAGGTTGATAAAGTCCCTTGTGTGGTCCTCAAGGGAGCAATCTCCCTGCTCCAAGCATAGGAGTTGAACTGCTGGCAGATCCATCAGGGAGGAAGGAGAAAAATAAAACAAAACAAACAGAAATCCCATTACATGTGGCTGTAGTTTTAAGCACACAATGAAGGAGTAGAGACCAAGGATGTAATTTTAATAAATCCACAGGGAGAACAGAACAACCACATGGGCACAATATCAACATCAAACATCATATGAAACTGAGGAGAACACAGGGCTTAAATAATTGGAGGAAAGTAATCAGTGAGAACAGAAACAGGTGTGGAGTTCATTGACAATTAATGCCGAGTTCACACTGCACGATTTTAGCCCGATTTTTCACTCGCCGACAGGTTTTGTGAAATCGCCGACAGATGCACGAAATCGGAGGCAAATCGGTGCTCGTTCACGCGAGTGACAATCACACAGTGTGAATTATCAAAGACACGATCTGAAGGAAATCACTGACACGTCGACCCCCTCGAAAGCAATTGGGCTATTTTCAGGATAGTTTTGAGTAGTAATTGGACGGGTTTTGTAGCGAAAACCTGGCAACCCTAAATGCCCGACATCGGAGGCAAATCGGTGCTCGTTCACGCGAGTGACAATCACACAGTGTGAATTATCAAAGACACGATCTGAAGGAAATCACTGACACGTCGACCCCCTCGAAAGCAATTGGGCTATTTTCAGGATAGTTTTGAGTAGTAATTGGACGGGTTTTGTAGCGAAAACCTGGCAACCCTGCACCAGACAGAGCTGTCGGCGATTCTTCCTATTGTAAAGTCATGCAGTGTGTAACCTCCTGTCGTCGTTCTATCGTGCGGTGTGAACACAGCAACAACTGAATGCTACCCCAGATAGTCGTTCAGTGTGAAACCAACAGTGATGCGACGTCTTTGAAAATCGTGCAGTGAGAACTCGGCATAAGAGAATAGATCAACAAGGGAACTCAGGAAAACGGGAATACAGAAACTAAAACAGCAGACCTGTTACAATCAGAGTTTTACTGTATTTTTGATTGAATAAAGAAAGACTTCTTTCAAAAGCATTTTTAAATATCGTATTGACCCCAAACTTTTGAACAGTAGTATAACTTCTGTTCCATGGTTTGGTTGATTTGCTACTACTAAATAGTCATGCAAAAAGTGTGTTTGTGCACTAATCCAAAGGTCAGGCTTAAAACATCCAGTAGTTTTAGTTTGTTGTCTAAAGTGTCTATCTATTGTGTTTGCAGATGGTGTCCAAACTACCGCAGATGAAGTCCATCTGTAACCTGCATATTGACAAGCTGGAGTTCTTCCGCCTGGTTCACCCAGAAACAGCGTACAGCTTCCCGCCTCTGTACAGGGAAGTGTTTGACAGTGAGATCAACTTCCCTGACTCCACCAACAGTTAGAGAGTGGGAAAAAGAGGGAGATAGTGAGGGAGAGAATGACAGAGAGTGTGAAAGGGAAATTACGAGTGTGTTAAGGCAAGAGATGCCATGACGAGTAAAAAACAGCATTTCAAACAAACACATTTTAAAAACCTCCAGGGAGAATTCTCAGTCTGTTGCAGCACTATTAGCATACATACACACACACACACACAATACACTACAAACACACACTTAACCTGCTGCGCAAATGCTCATACACAAACATAGGGGCCAACAAAATATTTCAGATTCGACAACACACAAAACATTGGGATTATTCGTATTGGAATTATTCCTGGAGTTGTGCTCTCAAATCCATTTTTATTTTATGGAAACACTCTGAAATTATCTTTTATGTACAGAAGTTGTCCCAACTTGTTGATGTCTAAGCATGGCACTATTCCTTCTGCATCTGTACACAGATATATTTAAAGGAGTTTTTATAAGCGGTTTTATAATTGTAAGAATTTTACAGGATCAAACTCTCTTCCACGTGAACATTCAGGAGAGCACAACACTTTTTAATGAAGCGATTACAACATACTAGGTGACCGTCACCCGTTCTTCCCCACCAAATCACTCTTAAAGCACTAATATCACTTTTTTTTCTCCTCCCTCTCCCCTCATTTTTCACCCTCAGACGAGTCACGAATGTATCCCAAAAGCACTTATTTTGATATGAGACCGAATGTACACAATGCACTTTTGGTCTTGCGTTATGCTTTATGAGACTTTATGACAATCCACTCAGAAAAAAAACAAACAAAAAAAAACTGATGTGCCCAGATTGTTTATTAAAAATGAAGGGACCAATGTTACAAGTACTACAGGAACGTTCCACATTAAATACAAGTCAAGCTCATTTAATCAATAATAAATAATCATTTTGAAATGAATATATTTAGAAAAAATGTTTTCAAAAATAATTTTGAATCATCTCGGACAACGAACAAGTATTGACAGAAATGCACTTATAGTGGAAGTCTATGGGGCATTTGTACATTTATAAAACAGCTGTTCATAACCTTACAATTCATAACTGTATCTGATAGCATCTGAGTTTAACTTGTATTTAACCTTGAATATTCCTTTACAGATATTTAAACAAACCAGTTTTTAGTCATCCACCTGTTAATCACTATAAGCGTGCAGTCATGGCCAAACGTTTGTGAACGCCTTGTTTTGTTACAATAACGCAAACGGCAACCACAAAATCCTCACTTTAACAGTTATTTACATGACCTCATACCTCATATTCAGCAGAATTTGTCACATTTAGTACAGTATTAGACTCTAGTAAACAACTTCTTATATGCAAAACATATTCAACAGAATACAGTCTTATTTATAAGGGGTTTGCAAATTATGGCATGACTATAAAGAATAGAGTGCATTAGTGCCCGTCCAATTTTTCAGCAGTGTTGGTTTTGGAAGTATTTTTACCTAGTAATTTTTTTCCCCATAGCGATTTGGTCTTTGTTAAAGTGTTACAAGCCATGAACCAAACCAACAAGCTACAAGGAGAATTACAACATTACAAACTTTAAGTTGAAGCAAAAAAAAATAAAAAGGGGCAAAAACACAGGTACAAGATTGTATTAATGTCTTTAGTGAGGGGGAAAAACTACAAACCCATGAAGCACTGCGATTGACAATCGACTTAATGATGGTGAAATAAAAAACTATTTATTTAAAGTTTTGGATTGAATCAATAGAAACTATATATTTTAAGTTTGTTTCAAAATATGCACGCACACACATAAATATTTAAGTATTTTGACTGACTCGTGTCATTTGCGTTCCCTGCAAGCTCTTTTGCTGAGATTTGCTGGGTGCGACTCTCTGATTGGTGTGATTGTCTGAACAGCATCATGGGTAATGTAGCTTCTCATTACAAATTCCACTGTTAAATATGACTATTTTAAACATAAGCTGAAATAATGCAAACAGATGGTTGTAACAAAAGAATATACTATCAATTAACAACCTCGCTGCTCACAACAGTTCTGTTATTGTTAAAATGTTTCAGTTTTTACTTCCGGAACCAGACTGTCACACTCTGTCGGCAAATAGAATATTTGACACAGTTGTTCCACCCACACATGCTCTTGTTTGCTCAGGCACATTTTGACAGTGTTTGGTGCTGCACCTTATTTTTTTATTTAATTTTTCTTTTTTTTTTGTCATTTTAATGCAATGAGAAACCTCAGTCCCACATCCCCTTCCCTTGTAAATGCCACTTTAGAATAAGAAACAGTTAAATGTTCATTTAATGTATATGGACATTTCTAAAAGATTATTTTGAATAGGAATGTAAATACATTTGTATATTTAGTCAAGAAAGAAAAAGAAAGGTGGAACAGGAAGAGAAATAGAAATGTTTTAAAAAATGAACAAGCCAGGACTTTCATCAGCCGGCTTTTGAGTTCCTCCAGCATGTGCATGGGAATACCGGATCCAAAAGATGAACTGGCATGGATTTTGTTCCGGAACTGCCCTCCATAAGTGACCCAGATGAAACACTTACAGGAGACGGACAGTTATTCCGAGCCAGGCTGGATGGCTTTTCAACATTGTTCTCTGGGACACACACAGAGCTGGGACGACCTTGATGACCCCAGCTTCATGTTATGAGAACCTTCCTCATGTAGGATCACATGTCTGGTGGTCTTCAGATGCTAAAGCATTGTTCTCACAAATCGAAAGAAAAGAACAAGAGAAATAGAGATTCAATCAAAGCTCAGTCCAGCAGGTTTCGGGTACAGATACGCCACATGCAACTTGTGGCCAGTGTGGTTTCTGTTGTATTATTTTGTAAATTGTTGATTGCATCTCCTTTTGTCCATTTCTGTGACCCGGATCGCATCCTTCCATCATATTTTTCCATACTCATGCACCAAAACATAGCTTCGACTAGATGTAGAGTCGAGGTTCATGGTATTGTTTATAGTACTACAATATATACTACACAACTGGTTTTAAGCGCTTCAGATGAATGAATGAGAGCTTGTATTCTGTATGAAAGATGAAATATGGTGTTGTATCTCGGTTTTTAATGAACAAGAGGAAATCTGTCTTCTTTTTGTGTGCCCAACATTACAACCTCTCACATCAAGGAGTGTAGCCTGCCCTTGTTTCAGAATGAGAAGTATGGGAGTTCTGTCTGTGTAATGTATTTTTAAATGTGTTGTTTTGACAATCCCCACCTCTAGGCCTTTGATGCATGCCTTCCTGTTAAGACAGAATTGTGTTTGTCTCATTCAGTCACCCTGTAAAGCAATTTCTGTGGTTTCATGTTTATTTTATTTTTGTAGAAGAAATGTTTCTGCTCTGTGTGTTTCACACACACACACACACACACACAAAGATTTATTCTCAGGGAGATAACTGGTCTCTGTCTCACCAGTATCCTCTGCCGACTACACACACACACACACATTATGCACACATGCACACTTTGCACCGAATAGGAGACCCGTATTCTTGATCACTGTGTCCTGTAGCTATATTTAAAGATATATATGTTTTGTGAATGTCAATCACAAAGTGTCAAAGGCCTTTCTTCTTTCTGCTAATGTACTATTACAGGTTCTTTCAGCCTGAATTATAAGACACAGAATATGACTTACTGAAAGAAAATGAAAGAAAATAAAAACAAAAGATGGATTTTATTCTTGAAAAAGAAATGTCCCTTGTGATTTGTCTGCTTCACTGACCTTTATTTCAGTTCAGTTCAATTGTATCTCATAACTATTATTGTAGTTAAGTGTGTGTATACATAAAAAGATCAGTTATGATATATATATATATACACACACACACACACACACAATATTACTTATATGTCACCCTGACTTATCAAAAATAATATATAATGTAGGTAAGGACATTATATTATATATAGAGGCAGGTGAATTAATACTGTCTGACTGCTGTTTTTAGTCTTGTTAGTGTCGTTTTAGTCTTGAAACTGTTCTTAAACACACAGGTAATTAAAGTTTAACCCGGAAGCTGGAGAGTTTGTATCTCTGCAAGCTATGCAACGCACTCAATCTGCCAATCAGATCAGATAGTTACACCTCATAATTATTTTTCTGTTACTACAGATGCATAACAAAATACATGTACAATAATATAAAATACGCAATATAAATACATTACAAAAATAACTTATAAGAACGCCACATGTTTAGAGCTGGAAGCTTTTGAAACGTGCTTCAATGCGAGCGATGGAATCCTGACGTCGACAAGCAGTCGACCAATCAGAACTCTCCTTTTAAACGCGACGCGTGTGTGGGAGCGTTCTAGTTGCGTCGCGTCGCAGTGTAGGTGAGGTGTGACGTGCACACTGCAGGTTCAAACTCTGGCCGATCAGGAAGAAGAGATTCAGAAGAGTTTTCACAGCTCTATAGAAGCCTAGAGTTTCATTTTAAAATATCGGGTGAATTAAATTACATCTAAATTTGTTAAAGCGAAAGGATCCGACGCAAAGATGTCTGTTGCCGGACTAAAGAAACAGTTTTATAAAGCTAGTCAGGTGAGTGTTTCCACGTCAGCTGGTACACGAGTGTAAACTTACAGACTAGATACAACGATACACAAATAATATACCGCAAGTTACAAAGAAACATGAATTTTGTCAGTTCAACTTGTTTTTGATTTACTTCATCAAAACAAGTTGAACTTCATCCGGGGTCTCCTCTGCTCTTGTAAAGTAAAAGTTAAAACATGGCTGTGTTTCAAAATGTAGTGAGCGCCCTACCTAGACAGCATATTCGGCCATCACACTTGCGTTTCGAACGCGTTTAAGCAGGCATCTCATTAGATTTTGAGACACAATCTTTATTTTTATTATTTTTTTATATCTAAAATTATTATATAATATATAAGAGTAAACGCTTTGAGTTGCAGCATAAAAACACAGATGTTTGACCCAGTAGTTTGTTTTGACAGCCATAGAACTACAAAAGAGCATCAATACAAAACTTTATGACTAACCCAAGCTCATATATTTCCAAATGAAGTGAAGTCTATAAAGTTAGATCTAAAAATATGTCCTGTAAATATTTTTATAGTCAGGTACACAGGTTATGACACTATATCAAAGAGTTAACAGGTTGCTTTAATGCAGAATCATGACTTAAACATTGCAACACATTGCTGCTTACACCACCTCGACCAACATGTGGTCAACAGTTCAGATGAAATTTAAAATTATACAGCCTACTGTGGGTTTTGAGCAGGAAGCACAAGTATTTTATTGGCAGAATACTCACTTTATTCAGCTGGTGTGCACTAAGGTCTGCAGATGATCCATAGTGTTAATTTGTAATGTGCGGGGAGAAAACATGTTCATCCTCTATATACGAAAACATGTCCAGGTCACAATCAAGAGGTAAAATATAAGAATGAGTATTTTGCATAAAGAAAATTAAACCTATTTTAGGGCAATGTTTTGCAATGTGATATTGTACTCGTGATGATTGTGCACATTTCCCTCTCAAATTCTATTTACCGTAATGCAAAAATCTCATTCTAATTTCCATCATGGAAATTTTACGTTGTCTTTTTCTTTATTTTTGTTACAAAATACTGTAATACAGTGATTTTTACTCTAAAGTATAGGCAGTATTAGAAATAATCCCATAATATACAAATACTTTTACAATTGACGCAATGTTATTTTTTTTCCATTTTATTTTATCGAACATTTGCGGTGTGTTTGTAGATGGTTGACTTGAGTGAGGTAATTTGATCCAAATACATCTTATTTTCTGTTCACTGTGAATAAAGATACTGTATTTCATTGTGTGGTTGATAAACATCCCATTTTCAGATACTTGCGAGTCATGTGTAGAGGTTTAAGCTCATGCCAGGCAGATAAAGAAAGTGATTTTGAATTTGCTTTATTATTTTTTTTAGCTGGATTAGCTTTTAATCCATGTCTTCTACTCCAACATAGTCATGCATTCAATCAGAAAGAGGCCTGTTTATCAAACACAGCGCAGATTAACTTTTGCACATGCGATTTCAGACATTCAGTTGTTTTTGGCATCAGCAAGTCTTGCATTCCTTTACCTGCTGAAGCAAAACAAGTCTGACGTGCACCTACATGTTGCAGAAGAATCAGGCCATGCATCTTCATGTCAGACTGGAGGTCTTACAGTCTCTGAGCTTCTTTACAATAAAAACTAAAGACCGCAGGGTCAAAAATGCAGAACTTCCTGTTGTACATAGTTACTAAAGACTATGTCATTAGTTAACTATTTTACCTTTTTGGCGTGTGCCTGTCTGTACAGAGAACACGTTCCATCTTGATCTCGTCAAGTTGAATAGGATCATATTGTCTGTTTACTAGGCCTGAAAGCTGAGATATCTGTTGTCAGCTAAATTCTTGAGAGACAAAAACGTGCATACTGATTCTACTAAAAATTTTCTCACACTCATAAAGTATTTAGATGGTTCACCCAAAAATTTTAATTTGCTAAAAATGTATTCACCCTCAGACCAATGTAAATGAGTTTGTTTCTTGATCAGAACAGATTTGGAGAAATGTAGCATTCCATCACTTGCTTCACCAATGGATCCTCTGCAGTGAATGGGTGCCGTCAGAATGAGAGTCCAAACATCACAATAATCCACAAGACTGGAGGAAGCATTATTATGGAATTCGGTGTCGTATTTTGGCCAGAAGCAACAGTTTAAAGTTAAAAACCTCTTAATGATGGATTAGTTTTTTTAGAAACACAGCTTTTCACTTCACAAGACATTAACTGATGGGCTGGAGTGGTGTGGATTACTTGTGGATTATTGTGATGTTTTTATCAGCTGTTTGGACTCTCATTCTGACGGCACCCATTCACTGCAGAGGATCCGAATCTGTTGTGATGAAGAAACAAACTCATCTACAATTTAGATGGCCTGAGGGTGAGTACATTTACTTTTTTGGGGTGAACTATTACTTTAAATATATAAATGCAGGATACAATGCAACAGCCAAAGACATCCATCCATAGACATTTAAAAATAGTACAGACTGAATGCAAGTATGCCGTCCTTTGTGTTTGTCACTTCAGTTGCAGATACCTGCATTGCTATTTGTCCTGCTTGCTAACTTTTTCTAGCTGCAAACTAGTTATCACATTATCTGTGCAATAGAGATCCTTGCTTTGATTTCACCTGACTGCTAGCTTTGAAAAAGTCCAACTTTGTACAGTATGTGTGTTTACACTGAAAAAGTTTTGCAGGTGTGTGAGGAATTCAGTGTAGTTTAGTTTAGCCGTCAGACTGGATTCTTGTTCACAGCATACATGCCCAACAAATAGACGATTTTCTTTCAGGCTATTTACCTCCCTTCCTCCCTCCCCCTTTTTTTTTTTTTTTGCTTTAGATGTCAATTTCACTTACAGGTTGACAAGCGGGTTTTTGCTAAGTATTTATTGCACCCAATATCTCTTGAATGGTTATATCACAATATCTTTGAACTGAACTGTGTTTCCATGCGGGCTCTTATATTGTGCATTTCCTATTGTGTGATGCCTTTGTTCCTGTACTTTAGAAAAAAGTAGAAAAGTTGTAGAAGACAGAGTTGTCAGATTTGCTGTAGGGCAGAGATAATTATGCAAATTGCAAAGTATATGACTTCCCTTTCGTATTGCATCGTGCAACGCATTATGAAAATGTTTGTAGCACAAATATTAGGGTGTTTCTTTTTATTGATTTATTTTTAATTAAAAATAAGGGCTTTTTATTCAAGTATATAAAGTTAATTTCAAGCATGCAGGATTGGATATTGCTTATAAATTATACTGTTGTTTTAAATTAAAAGCAAAACAAATTTCATAATAAAGCTCTGAAATCTCACAATCAGTAAAATCACATATTAAAGTATTAAATACAACTTCTACAGAACACAGAAAATGAGTATGTTTGTAACCTTGCGGGTTATTAATATTGGTCATCATATCAGTTACCAGCCATTATAAAAATTGAATTATTGTAAATACTCAGGATTGGTCAAAAATCGACAATGATAATGTGTATATTGATCATGTATTTGACCAAAAACACATCAGGACTGATTACTTTAAATGAAAACAAGAGTTTTAAGATGAGAGTCATAAAATGAGATGGACTGATTTGTGTAACTGTATTTCATTTCTCATATAGAAAAGTGATCTGTCTGATCATTATCTGTGTCCACACCAACATCTGAATCATATTAGGCGGCTAGGGACTCGGAGCCGTACAAAGAGCCACTGTATGAAGGGCTGTCAGGCAAAGATGCATGTGTCCCTCTCTGAAGACTGGGTGTGTGTTTTACAAACAGACCAATTATGTTCAATA